GTGGTCCTTGCTCTCGTCCGCGACGTCCGCCGGAAGTAGCCGAAGTCCGAGGAGGCCGTCCTTGATGACCAGCTTGAGGTCCTTGCCGAGAACCTGAGAGTGGGCCACTTCGGCAGACAAGTCGATCACCAACCCAAGCGCCTTCTGAGCCTGCAGGGAAAGCAACAAAGGAGCCTCGGAGCCGATGAGCTCGGTGGAATAAAGGTCGCCTCGGGCAACTCCACCATCGAGGAGTTCAAGGCAAAGCTCTAGCTGTCGGGTACCAGCGGTTTGGATGGCCCCGCCGATCCCCCTGAAGTTGGGCCTGTCCTCGGTGCAAAGTTTCGGCATTTCCTGTCGGGTCGCGTCCACGTACCTTGGAAGCCAGGCGTCGCCGTGACATGTTTGGCTGCAGCCGGTGTCCAGAATCGCCACGAGGTCGCCTTCCGCAAAGATCGTGTCGTCCTCGTCATCGTGGTCGAGGTAGGCCATGTAGGCGTGACGGTTCTGAGCATCGGAGTCAAGGTAGGCGTCATGCTCGCGGAAGTATTGAACCAATCGCTTCATAGTTGGGTGGCTCTGGTCGGTGACGTTGGCATAGCACCAGTGCTTGTAGTCGCGGTCCTCGTACGCAGTGATGTAGGCCTGGTTCTTGTACTTCCCGGACTCGACACGTGTCTCCCCTCGCATCCGCACACGCTCTGCCAAGCTTGCAGTATCTGAGGCCCGGGTCGAGGGTGTAGTCGATGCCGGGGCGGCCTGTCGTTGGTGCCAAATCGTAACCTGCTCGATCGTCAGCCGAAGCGCCTCCAACAGCCGGTCCGCCGGAATCGGGGCATCGCCGGTTGCTTCAAGACGCCTGCCCACTGCCTCGTTGAACGTGCCGACGATTTGCTGTATCTCCGGCGGGCTGAGCACGTAGCCGTCGAGGTCGTGACGTGTCGCGGACGCAGCCGCGTTCGAGGGTCGTGCCGAAGTCGCCGTAGAGCTCGTTCCGGTAGTTGACGAGGAAGCTCCAGGAACATTGCCGTCACCATCCGCTCGGGGAATGCTCTCTCTGAAGCCGCAGTCGAGACAGGTCCGCATTCTCAGAAAGGCATTTGAGCCCTTCCAGTGTACTCTGTGGTGTAGGCAAGCTGGGGCTGCTGCCGCCTTTGGCTGAGGTGCCGGATCCTGTGGCTGCTTGCGGGTGCGTTCGAGCACTTCGCCGCACGCAGTGCACTTGCGGATGTGGTAGTACTGGTTGCTGCCACTGGCGGTCGTCCTCGTATGCGGGCAGGACCTGCTATGTGGGGCCACTCGCCTCATGCCTTGTGCCGGTTGTGCTACACGTGCTGCTGCGTCGTCCAAAGGTTCGGCGCCAGGAGATGGTGAAGAAGCCGGCGATGTTAGTGGCAGAGGTTCCAGCGGCACGCCGCCAAGCGCCTCCAGAAGCATCTCCATGTCGACGTCGGGCTGCTCCGCGTTGACATAGTCCACCTGGTCCATGCACGGTATCACCTGCCAAGGTCCATCCTTGTCCGTCAGGTCGACGATGGTCCGCGCCGCCGCCACATTCTGCGTCGGTGCTGCCGAGGTCGCTGTCGCAGGCGTCGTCGATGAGGAGGTCGCTGCCGCAGAAGTCGCCGGCGGAGCCGATGTCAAAGAGCTTGGTGGCGGAACTTGGCGGTAGCCGCCGGTCGGGTCAGGAGAGCGGAGAGCCAAGAAGCCCTTCGGGTCGCCAGCGTCGGGCTCCCTTATGGAAAAGTAGACGGTTCTGGGCTTGTCCTTGCCGCCGCCTCGCCCAGAGTGTTGGGTTCCACGTCCAGGGGCGCGGCCTCGTCCAAAGCCCGAAGAAGAGGATGATGGTGCACCGCCGCCAGACTTCCCGAACTTGCCCTTGCCTCTGTTCAGGGGACATTGAGCGTCGCCGCTCCAATGGCCCACTGCTCCGCACTTCCTGCACGACGTCCTCGCCTTCAAGGAAAGCAGCCGCGCCTTCTTCTCGTCCATGGTGAAAGAGCCGCTGACCTCAAAAGGCGGTGGCTTCATGGGGGCATGTCCTTTGGAGTGCGCCCCCTTTCGGCTCCAATATGCTTCCTCCTCGGCCTGGATGACGTCCGCCGCAAAGTCGCCTGCCTCACGGTCGTCTGGGTCTAGGCCTTGGTCCATCAAGTAGGCCAGGTGCTCCTCAGCGAACTCAGTGACCTCGAAGTCCATGTGCTCGTCGTAGCCGTACTCACAGTTCTGGGTCATGTAGCCGGCGGGGTCGTACTGGTCTTCGGGGTCGTCGTCACCATAGTCGCCGAAGTCCTGGTCAACATGGAAAGCGTATTGGCTCTTGCCCTTGCCCTTGCCATGGCTGCCCTTGGGATGTTGCGGCGTCCAAGCCGGTCTCCAAGGTCCGCGCCCGTCGCCGCCGAAGCTTCTCCGAGGGGCACCTTGTCCTTGGAAACGCTCATGCACATGGCTGTGCTGGTTGATCAACTCGTCTGCTACTCTGTCAAACGTCAGGTTCTGCTGGAGCGCTGTACGTACCAACAGTTTGTGGTCCTGGCTTATGTTCGAGTTGTCCAGTAACTGCTCTGCTAACACCAGATCGGGCAACTTCAGCTCGCTGCTAAGGTCACAAAGGTTCTGGTACCAGGCCCTGCGCCTAAGAATGTAGCTCACCATAGGCTCAGCAGCTTGTCTTGACAGATAGCCTCCGACTCGGGCACCGGCTTCATAAAGTTCACGGGCCTGCTGTGTACGCCTTGGCCTGAGCTGGGTCTCCAGCTCCTTTATCAAGAAGTCAGCGCCTTCGGGACCATCCAGCTTATCCATGTTCATGAACTGAGCCAGCTGCAGGGCATGGCCGGAGAGGCCATCCAGAAGCCGCAGCCCGAGTGGGCCCAACTTCTTGAGCTCTTCCGCAGACATCGACTTCTCCTTGCGCTGGCGGGTTTGCACTCGAAATTTCCACTCATTGAACTTGGCTGGCTCCGTTGAAGCGGGGCACACCAGTCCGCCCTTCAGTCTGTCCGCCGAAGGGGCCGTTGCTGTCCTCCTCGCGGAGGAAGGTGCCAAAGCGCAAGCCATCTAACAGTGACCCAGCCATGGCAGTCAAAAGGAGCGCAAGGCCCCGCTACCAGTGCGAGAGCAAACTCCCGCACTGGTGCCAAGTAGCAAAGTGCAACGCACCTTTTCGCTGGCTTGAGCCAGTAGATGCCAGTCCATGCCCATGCTGCTCATGCATGCATAGACATGTCGGGACCTCAGATTTCACAAAGACTAGACTCAGACGTTAGTGTGTGGGGGGGGGGGGGGGGGGGGGGGGGGGGGGATTCGTGTCTGTTCATGCTACTGTGGCACAATGAGCATTCGCAGGACGCAGCAAAAGCCAGCAAAGTCGACACAAGTGTCTGTTTTCTCAGGCACCGGAGGATTCTAGAACCTCTTGGTGCCTACAAGTTGTTGGTGTGGGGGTTGAAGGGGGTTTTACAGGGGGGAGGGGACTAACCAGCGGAATAACATGCAACACCATGGGAACACAAACCCATACCCCCGGGAATCGGAACTGCAACCGTGAGGATCTGCATTGCCTGAAGAATCCACAAAACAAATCTGGACAAACCTTTACCATTCCAGCACTCGGTGAGGGAGAATGAACAACAGCACCGTCAGAATAGTAGTCGAAAGGCCTGATATCTTACTTTTGCCGCATGAAGGCCGGCGGTGTCTGTGCGTGTGAAGGGGTAGGTGAGTGAGTGCGTGCGTGCGTGAGTGGGTGCCTGCCTGTGCGTGTCTGCGCGTGCCTGTGCGTGCCTATGCGTGCCTGTGCGCGCCTGTGTCCGTGTCTGTATCCCTGTCTGTGTCTGTGTCCGTGTCTGTGCGTGTCTGTGCATGTCTGTGTCTGTGGCTGTGTCTGTGGCTGCGTGTGGCTGCGTGTGTCTGTGCGTGTGGCTGCGTGTGTGGCTGCGCGTGTGGCTGCGCGTGTGGCTGCGCGTGGCTGCGCGTGTGGCTGTGCGTGTAGCTGTGGGTGTGGCTGTGGGTGTGGCTGTCGTGTGGCTGTGTGCGTGTGTGGCTGTGTGTGTGTGTGTGCAGTCCCAGACTCCATGCACTTCAGCATGCGGTGCAAGCACGGGCATGCAGGCATATGCGTGGGGACGCCACCGCAGAAAACCAAAGCCCGCATAGAGGCCAAAAGTGAACACACCCTCCCACGGAAAACGCCCGAAATTCGCCACCCAGCCGCCAGACCCCTTCGAGGAGCCAGAGACCCTCCCACGAAAAGGTCCGTGTGGTGTTGTAAGTTCTGTGTGTGGGTGCGTTGTGTTTCGTGTGTCGGGTGTTGCTTCGTGTGTTGTGTGTTGTGTGTTGTGTGTTGCGTTGTGTTGCGTTGCGTTGCGTGGCGTGGCGTGGCGTGGCGTTGGCGTGGCGTTGGCGTTGTGTTGGCGTTGTGTTTGTGTTGTGTTTGTGTTGTGTTTGTGTTGTGTTTGTGCTGTGCTTGTGTTGTGTTTGTGTTGTGCTTGTGTTGTGTTTGTGTTGTGTTTGTGTTGTGTTTGTGTTGTGTTTGTGTTGTGTTTGTGTTGTGCTTGTGTTTGTGTTTGTGTTTGTGTTTGTGTTTGCGTTTGCGTTTGCGTTTGCGTTTGCGTTTGCGTTTGCGTTTGCGTTTGCGTTTGCGTTTGCGTTTGCGTTTGCGTTTGCGTTTGCGTTTGCGTTTGCGTTTGCGTTTGCGTTTGCGGTTGGGGTTGGGGTTGGGGTTGTGGTTGTGGTTGTGGTTGTGGTTGTGGTTGTGGTTGTGGTTGTGGTTGTGGTTGTGGTTGTGGTTGTGGTTGTGGTTGTGGTTGTGGTTGTGTGTGTTGCGCGCTGTACGTTGCACGTTGTGTGCTGTGGTAGCTTGTATGTTGCGCGTTGTGTATTGTGTATTGAATATTGTGTATTGTGTATTGTGTATTGTGTGTGTCGGGTGTTGAGTGCCTTGGAAACAAAAACGCACGAGGATGCGGGGAACTAATACCCAGCCCCTGCCCTGTGCTTTTGTTGCAATGCCAGGTCGCATAGCGACACTGCTCATGCATCTCCGGAGCCTGGTAGGACGGCTTCCCACGCGGACCAACCTTGCGCAAAGTCACAAGAGCTGCTTGGGACTGGACGCTTAGACACAATCCGGCTGCGAATCTGAGACGCCGGCCATGAAGTCTTGATTCATGACGGCCTTGCTGAATGGTTTGACTGAAAGCGATGACCCTTAAACACCGGAGAAGCTGCCAGTGAGTAGCAGGTAGAAAGGTCGCTTGTGTGAGTCTATACTTGTTTTTTTGCAGAGAAACAGAGAGCAAGAGAGAGGACCGCGATAAATGCAGTCGAGAGCACCATTCCGAAGTCGATGAGCTTCACTTGAGGGGGATCGTCCGGTGAGGTTGTGGCCAGGAGAATGTTCCTTGGATGGATGGCGGCTCACAGGATTTAGCCGACGAACATTATTGTGTTCGCCAAGATTCTCCAGTGAAAGATCGCAGTGTGCAATCTTTAGACTGTGCAGGTGACCGACTGCCGCAAAAATCCTGGCGCAAGCCGTCAAAGGCAGGGTTCCCATGTCTCTAAGAGCTGATCTGCGGTCAGCCAAGGAGCTGCTGTGCGACAGGTCGCAGCATCTGCCTTGAAGCGGGTGCAGGGCCTATGCCTCATGCCTCGATGTGTGTGTAGCTGCTCTGTACAGCCATCCTGAAGCTGTCTCAAGCCACGTTGCTCCCGCTCCTCACCAGGAGTTGGACCGGCTTGACACCATTCAAACCTAAGCACCACAACAGATTCCTCTCGTCCTTCCAGAACTTCGGTTCTTTTCCAAACTGCTGCCTAGCTGCAGATCACCTCGATCGGCGAATTCAGAGACAAAAAACGTCTCCCCTCAGAGTCTTGACAGTGGCGGCTCAGATGGGCAACGTGGACAACGCGGGCAGCAGAAGAACCGAAGAGACTGGCAAAAGCCAACAGGGCTGATCGAGACCAGGCTCTTTCACTGCGAAACGTTCCGAAAGGCTCACCTCAGGAACGTGAAATCCAATTGGGGATGGAGCCCTCGAATCATGGGGGCGACAATCGGCCATAACGGGTATAATCCATTTGCCCAAGTAGCAGATGAAGCGGAAGCCTTTCGCATGCAAGTATTTGGCCTCTGCAAGGCCCGGTCAGCATCAGCAGGTGTCGACAGCAAGCTGGCCCGGCCACAGCAGCAACACTGAACAATACGGGGATTCCTATACACCTAAAGGATCAGAAGCCGTATTCAACGCCAAGAGGCTAAGCCAAGGTCCATCCACGGGAGTTCGGTCTCGGACGGGTGTTTCTCCAAAAAGTCCTCCCATCGGTCTCGTCTTGCATGCAGAGATACGTAGAGCCCGGCATGACTCTGGCTCCTTGTGGTTCTTGCCAGTCCAAGTGACCGGCATACGCTTCACCGCCACAAACTTCCCATTTTGCAAAAGATCCTTCCTGCAAAAGGCAACAGCAAGTTGCTGCTGAGCACCGCCCACTACCGTGGCATCCTAAGGTCCAGCTTCTGCCAAGCGGCTGCAGTTCTACCTTGCCCTGGTTCCGGGCCGCGTTCTGCAGCAAGCGGACATTCTCGAAGCCTTGACTATATATGTGAAGGGCTACAAAAGAAATCACAGGCTTCACAGGCTTCACTGGCTTCACAGTGAAGCTCACTTCGGATCACTTCAGAAGTCCTGGCACTGGAACTTACTTTCTCGGTTGACAGTAGCCTGTAGACATCTTGTAGGTGGTAGGCTTACGGACACAACACAATCATGTCTAACCCATCCCAACTGAAGCGAGCTCAGCCCCAAAACACCTTCGGACGGTGGCCGGGGCGTGGGGAACGGGAGCGCGCGAGGGAGGGGACGGACGTGACAGAGGCTGAGCGGACAACACCCATGCTAGTCCCACACTTCAGTGGGCAAACCCAAACAGCATCAAAGAGCTGCACAAGTTTTTGCACGTCCAAATGCTTTAGCCTCAATCCTAAGCTCCAATCTCGCACCTTGCGTGTGATCAGTTCGTGCGCCGCGATTTGACCACTCGACAAGATTCTGCCCACAGATGGAGAGGACATGAGAGGACCACGACTGTCTCGCAGTCGGTTGCTGCCGAGGGTCGCTTGTCGGTCCACGGCCGTGCGTCCGCGACCTTCCAGCGCCGTCAAGATTCAACGGGCAACTGCCGTGCAACCCGTGCAACTGCAAGTCGTCGTCGTAGACTCAGGATCGTGAGCTTGTTCGCTCTTCTGCGCTGCCATGAGAGGAGATGTAAGGAGCAGGCTATCTCAACGCACTCGTCAAGGCTCATTTCTGCCCCAGGTTCTGCCTCACATGCCATACTGCAAAGCTGTGTCCTTGTTTCCTGCTTGGGCAGCTTGGGCAGCTTGGGCAGCTTGGGCAACTTGGGCACTGACCTCGATTTCCGGCTCCTTGGCGGTCCATTGCAGTTTGAGCATGCCGAGCCAAGGACATCACATATGCAAGAGAGCAGCAGATCTGGAAGATTCCGACGATGAGCCTCAGCATAGCTGCATAGCTGAGCTTCATTTTCGAAAGCATGGCCTGCACCATTCTACACCATGGTCTGCTGAGATCTCCACCTCGGATGACGCCAAATAACGTTGGCTTCATGCTCATCGCCGTGGCGGGCTCCTTGTGGCGCAGTCCCTTCGGAGAAGTCAGGTGACTTGGAACTCCGTGCGATTTGTCCTTCATGGACAACTTGCCCGCGTCGTGGGGCAACCTTAGAGCTGCATGGCGCTGCACCAGCTCAGACTAGGGAGGAGAAAGCACATGCAAGAAAACGGAATTGCTGGATTTTTTTCAGCACCTTCCATAGGAAACCCTCTACTTGATCTACATTTCCGAAGGAAAACCCCTATTTTCTCCATATTTACATAGGAAGACCTCTATTTTCTCTACATTCCCATATGATTTACACAGGCAAACGTCCGTTTTCTCCATATTTACATTTAGGAAACTTCTGCTTTCTCCTATGTTTTTCTCTATGTATCGTGGAAAAAACATAGCCAGTTTATCTACCGTTTTCGAAGACAGTAGCAGGCTGATCACATTTTGATCGGAAACCTGTATGTTCGTAATATTTTGGTAGGAAAACTTAGTTTTTTTGTATACTTCAATTGCTGCAAGGCCGCTCATACGCTTGCACGGCTTGACAAAGCGAGGGGGTTGGGGAGGGGGGGGAGCACGGCCCCCCGTTCTGCAAACCAATGCTTGCATGATGGGTTTCAACAGGATTCATATGCTATGACCTGAGGACCAGCATACCAGGGTACCAGAGGACCAGCACAGCAGGAGACCAGGAGACCGGGAGACCACAACAAAAACTAGAGATAAATGGAATCACATTCCAGAAGAAAACCCATCACTGCCCTGAAAGTCTAAGCACACTTCGGTTTCACCTCCTTCCACATGGAAGTTGCAGCCATCATGAGCTGAATGGGCGTCATTAGTCCCGACGCCGTTAACTCCAGGACCAGGACGAGGCTCGGAACGTCCGATTCTTGCGCTGCAATTCTATTCCATTGAGACCCCCAGCCACGATCGCAGACGCTTGCTGACACGGCCACTGAACTTCAGACGTGTTTGCTACATGCCGCTCACAATCCAACCGAGCCCAAGCGGCAGAACATCATCGTACTGGGTCGCGAAAGGCTCGGATGCCTGAAAGCAGTATTGCGCAACACCTGTGTGCAAAGTATTGTGCAGACATTGTGCGGTACTTAACTTCCCGTGGCCTGGCTCTCCATGCACTTCAAAGGTGGTCGCAGGAATGTCTTGAAGAAGTACATTGGGACACCGGCCTTCAGCGCACAGGGCGAATGCCCTCTTCCCTCACCAGTCTCAAGAATCTTTCCCCCAGGGCGCTGCTCGTCGAGTTGAAGGCACAACTGCGCAATTTCAAAAAGAGGGCCCTGTCTTGAGCCGAAGACCTGGAAACACCCCGGACAAGCCTCACAGTGTCGCAGCACTTAAAAACAGAGTGATGCATCATCTCCGGAATCTGACCTGGCAGTCACTCGATGCTTGAATCAGCAATGAAATTCAATGGACGATGAGCAAGGACTAGCATGAGGCCCGTGGAGGTCGGCTCCTCTTTTCCTGGCAGCCGTGCACTGAAGACACGCAAAGGGGTCTGCTCGAAGCAGCTTTGCTGCGAGCACAAAAGGGTGCCGAAGATACGCAGAGGAGTCTGCTCAAAACGGCTGATGAAACTCGGGTCTGCTCAAAGCAGCACTGCCGGCTGCTGGGAAACAGCAACAAAAAGGTGCTCCTTGAAGACAGGAAAGGACTGCTTAGGCAGAGGAGCGCGCCCTCTTCGAGGCCGGCTTGGCCTTCGGGGAACTCGGCTTGGCCCGCTTGGCCTTGGCCTTCGGGGCCTCGGAGGCAGAGGAGCGCGCCCTCTTCCTCGGCTGCGCCTCGTCGCTGCGAAGCACTTGTGGAGGCAGCTTGGCCAGCAGCTCCTGCGACACGTCTTTCGTCCACACAAAGTGGATAGGGTACGACCAGCTGGTGTACGACCGCTTCGTGCTCTTGGCGGAGAAGATGGCGTTGGGTCTGTTCCGGATGACCTTGATGGCCTGGCCTGGCTTCTCCAAGTGGGTGCGCCTAGCTAGGAAGTGGCCCCGTGACTTCCACTCAGAGTCGGTGAGCGCGGTGAAGAACGCCCAGGGGCTCGCGGACCTCTCCAGTCCTCAAGCCTTGAGGACTGGAGAGGTCCGCGAGCCCCTGGGCGTTCTTCACCGCGCTCACCGACTCTGAGTGGAAGTCACGGGGCCACCTGAGAGAAAGGACGCGGCTCCCGGAAGCACTCGAAAAGGCACAAGTCAAAAAAGGAATCTCTGCTTGGACATGCTCAGCCAGCAGCGACTCTGAGAGAACACGCAGGCATGGCAAGGCATGGTAAGGCATAGCTTGCTCACACATCTGCTTGGACAAGCTGCAGACCAGGCCATAATCACAGCAGGACTGCTGATGATAATATTGGTGACTGCAGGTGCAAGGCTCATGATACCTTGGCAATGCTGCGTACGGCTGCGCTAAAGATGCGAAAAGGAAGCCAACCGTAGACCGAAAACGGGAAACTCAATGTTGAAATGAGAACACGTTTCTAAACCGGTAAAGCCCTACAAAGCTTTTTTCGCAAAGACGTACCGTCTGGTTTTCAGCTGAGTTTCTGTGCCTTCTTGGTCGTATTTGTCTTCTCGAGATCCACCACGCGCGTTGCCATGCTCAGGCCACTGAAAGCAAGCACAAGGAGCGGCAGCACCATCTGAAAGGCCATGGATGCTGTGAATTGTCTAAACACTTAAAAACAGAACTGCGGGGCCTGGGGGGCAGGGGGGAGGGGCAAACCTGTACTCTGTCAAACTCCTCCAACTCGAAGTCGCAATTGCGCGCATTGCAGATGCTTTATCTGCACACTTTTTCTGCACACTGGTGTTTTGTGGGAACAGAGTGGGAGTCCTCAATAGAATTCGGCTGTGACAGCCTTGGGCTGCAGCGGTGACACTCAAAAAAAAAGTGCAAGAACCAGAATATTGTCTCTTGACCCCAGTCGCTTCGCTTCATCAACCAATTCCTGCGAAGTGTGATGCTGAAGCCAGTCGGATATGTCCGAGGGGCTCTGGCGTGCTCCCGCTGCTTCTTCGACTGACCTCTCCACAATCTTGCAGGCATCCTCGTCGCTGAGCACGTCCCAGAGGCCATCTGTTGCGACAATCAGCACGTGCCCAGCGGCCACACCAACAGTACACAAGTCAGGAGTGCAGCTAAGGCCTTTGCCTTTCAAGCGGTGGTCCCCCAGGGAGCGAGAGATGGCCAAATCTCCCCCAACCCTCCCACCCGACACGATCCCACCCCCTTCCGTGACCCGCTTGGCCTCATCCTGGTCGCTGGGCCGGTGATCCTTGGTAAGGCTTCTGGGGCATCCGATGTTCTCGATAAGAACGGCCCTCGAATCACCCACGTGCGCAACATGGAGGCTGCGCGGCTTGCTGGGGTCCTTGGAGCCCTGCACCAAGACAACAGTTGCGGTGGTACCATGGTTCCAGGCGCCATACATCCCAAGCTGGCTGTCGATCTTCAGAAAAGCCTTTTGCAAGGCATCTAGGGGACTCGAGGTTTTCATTTCAAGGGCGACCTGCTCGTGCAGACGCATCTCGCAATAGTCCACAGCCTCCCGGCCACCATGGCCATCATAGACAGCGAAGAAACTCCAGCGGTCATTGGAGTCTGGAACAAAGGGCTGAAGAGCAAGCGATCCATCCTCCATGTAGCTCCTGTAGGCTGCGTTCGCATCAGAAGCAAGACTCGTGAAGGCCACCAATGCGTCGTCCGTTCTGGACCATGGGCGCGGAACTTGAATTGCGACTTCTCGCTTCTCCCGCTTAGTTCCCGGAGCTTGTTGGTCCTTCCGAAACTGAGACATGGAATTGCTCTCGGCGCTGCCCTCTAAACCTTCCAGAAGACCCATGAACTGCCAGTCGTCATTGGGCCCTGCAGGAACGACCAAATCCGTTCGTCCGTCTGATGGTTTGTCTGCCTGCGGCAGCGCACCTCGCCTGTGATCTTCGGACTTCTCGCGATCCTCGATCTCCAACTCCAACTCTTCCAGCAGGCCGCTCAGAGAAAAGTTATCTGAATCTGGCATTTTTGCCAAGCTTTGCCCTGCTCCTGTGCCCTATGCACTCCGCGTCCTTGCGCGATCAGCAGATGGACAGCCACAAAGCATTGCAGGCTAATACGACACCACTAGAAGCTGGGGACTAGTAGCTCGGAGACTAGGTGTCTACTCAGGGGATGGATTTCTTGTGCAGTCCTGCCACATGTCACAAATTTTGCACTGCGGCGGATAGAAAGCTTGACGGCGCACAGCTACGCATGCAAAGCTGAGCGGTGCACTCAAGCCAAACCGGGCTAAACCAACCCATGCAGGACAGCCAGGCGGACAGTTTTTGAATTCAGCCCATGGATGCCCATGCTGAGCTGGCAGCAGGTTGCGGACCATGCCGAACGCAGCTCAGAGGGAAGTGCCCTGTGGACCTGTCTTGCTGAC